TTATGAATTTGGCGGCACACAAAAGTGCCACGGCACAGTGGTTGAGAATCACAGGATTAGAAAGTTAAATAATTTGAATATTCGCAGTGATTTAGAACGGAAAAAATACCCTGTTGAGAAAGAAATAAAATTACTAATCAAAGCAGATATAGCAAGTAAAATACTGACAGGAAAAATAATAAATTTAAGTTCAGGCCTGTTGTGTATAGAAACGAAGCTCGGAAATTGCTTATTAGGCAGTTATTTATGCGATACGCCTACAATTACGAATGAAGCTTCTCATTTTATTTCTTCTCTGCTTATCAATGAAAGAGAAATCGACGATGAGTCAGACTAAAGTCGAATTAGAAAAAGAAACTCTTAAACATTTTGAGGAGACAATTAAAGTCAATTCTATGGGAAGATATGATATCGCGTTACCTTGGTTTACAGATAGTTCGCTTTTAACCAGAAAAAAAATATTGCACTTAAGAATGCGAAAAATTCCAAAAAGAAATTAATGGACTCAGGAAATTTTAATGCTTATTGAGAGGTTTTCGAAAATTGGTTATCTCTGGGAATTATTGAAATTGTGACATTTAATAAATTGGAAAATGTTCATTTTTTGCCTCACAGGCCAGTGGTCAAAGAAACTTCAAGTACTAAAATAAGACCTATATTTAATGCTAGTGCTCGAATTTCTGGCAAACCTTCATTAAATGATTGGCCACGGGACCAAATTTAATAGAAATAATTCCATCGATTCTCAATTGATTTCGTAAGAATAAAATAGGGTGACCTCAGATATTGAGAAAGCCTTTTGTATGATATCTATTCGCCCGAAAGACACCGATTTTTTTAAGTTTTTTTTTTTTTTTTTTTTTTTTTTTTTTTNCGATTTTTTAAGTTTTTTTTGGTATGATAAAAACAATTCGGATAGGTTGGTAGAGTATAAACACAAAAGACTAGTGTTTGGCTTAACCACTTCGCCCTTTTGTTTAGCCTTTACGTTACGATAATAGAGTTTCATAAGAGTTAAATAGAGTTTCAGATCATTTAAGTCATACTGCTGAAATTCTTAAGAATTCTTTTTACGTTGATAATTGTGTGACTAGCTTAAGTTCAGAAACCGAAACTCGAAGTTTTATTTTGGAATCGCAAACGATAATGACATAGGGTATTTTTAATTTACGATATTGGCAGACCAATGCATCTGATTTGATAAATAATTCTGATAAGAAAGATGTGTCCGTGTTAGGTCTCAATTGGAATACGGAAAGTGATACGTTATCTTGAAAAATTGAACCTGTTGATTATTCTGAACAATTAATTACGAAAAGATTTGTATTAGCAATGGCTCATAGGGTATTTGATATTATTGGATATACAACTACTGTTATGTTGTTACCTAAGATAACTTTGCAAGAGACTTGGAATTTAAAATTAAGTTGGAATGATGAAATTCCAGATAATTTGGCAAAGAGATTTAAGTTCTGGCTCTCACAGTTACATTTATTAGAGGACATTAAGGTTCCAAGATGGCTAGAACTTGAACCATCTAATGTTGTATTTAGCTTACACTTATTCTGTGACGACAGTAAATCAGCTTACGAATTTTATATATTTTTAAGAATTTTTGTTAATGATATTGTTAAAATTCATTTGGTCATTGCTAAAAGCAGAGTTGCTCCTCTAAAGTCACTAACTATTCCTAGGCTGGAACTACTAGTCTGTTGTATATGAGCTAGACCGCTGTCATCCATACTTAAAGATCTTGCTCTCAGTGAAGTTCAAATTTATTGTTGGACTGATTCGACCACCGCTCTGAGTTGGATTAAGCGTAATTTAAATTGGGGATTATTTGTATATAATCGCGTTAAAGAAATTTGTTCGGTAACTTCTCTCACCATGTGGCGCCACTTGCCAGGTAGCTCGAACTCTGCCGATCTTGCATCACGTGGCTGCACTGCTGAACAGATAATTCAACGTCGTTGGTGGGAGGGACCGATTTGGCTCTACGATAAGGAAGAAAATTGGCCTAAATCGGAAGAAAACCCAAATGAAGAATTGGTTAATTCAGAGCTACGTAAAACTGTAATAATTGCTTTAAATACGGATGATAGCGATCAATATTGGTATTGTAAATATTTTTCATCATATAAGAAAACTTTGAGGATGATAGCATGGATATATAGATTCTTTTATAACTGTAACATAAAGATAAAAAATTTTCTAAGGTTTTAAGTGTAGATGAACTTTGTAAAGCTGAAATTTCTCTGATGTTATTAATTCAAAAGGATGGTTTTAAATATGTATATGATAATAAACTTAAGCAATTAAGACCATTTGTTGACCAAAATGGTGTGATAAGAGCTAAAACCAACCTTGATTATCGTGATGATACATCTGATTTCATTCATCCTATTATTTTGCCAAATAATCGTCCTGTTGTAAAATTGTTAATTTTAAGTTATCATGTTGATTATTTACATGCTGATATTTCTCTGTTGATGTCTCACTTAAGAGAAAAATATTGGGTTTTGAAAAGTCGTAAGACTATTCGTAATTGTATTAAGCATTGTGTGAAATGTCAAAGATTGAAAGTAAAAAGATGTGAAGTTATGCCAGGAATTTTACCTAGTGATCGAGTAAATGATGCCGCAGTATTTGAGATAGTAGGGGTTGACCAAACACCTCCTAAGAAGTAGAAAGGCCTCAGCAAGGATCAATTTAGTAGTCCGATGTGAAGAAGTTAACTGCGCAGTAGACGAAAAATAAGAGAGATGTCATCACGTTAGGGATACTAAGCTGCGCAGTGGTTGAAAATACAAAATATGTCATTACGTTTGGACTACTAAGGGAAATTTATGGTAACCCGTGCTGAGGCCTGTTGTTTCTAGGTGTTGGTTAACCTCGCAGGTCCACTGTACCTTAAAGATAAAAGAAACGCATACATAGTTCTTTATACGTGTGCAGTGTATCGTGCAGTACTCTTAGAATTAGTAACCCTTTTGACGACAGAAGCATATTTTCAGTCCTTAAGACGATTTATTGAGCGACGAGGCAGACTTTCAGTTATATATTCCGATAATGGAACAAATTTCTTTGGCGCAGAAAAAGCTCTTCGTTCAATAGATTGGGATAAATTGAGCTCAAAAGTTGCAGAACAAAAAATACGTTTTAAGTTCAATCCTCCTTCGGCAAGTTGGTGGGGGGGTTGGTGGGAGCGCTTAATCCAGATGGTGAAACAAATCTTACGTAAAATATTAGGACGCGCTACGCTCAACTATGAGGAGTTACTCACTCTCCTTTGTGATTGTGAAAGAATAATAAATACGAGGCCCCTCACTTACGTATCCGAAGACGTGGCCGATATTTCACCATTAACTCCCGAAATGTTCTTGCACGAGATACCTTCCTCAGGTGTAGTAGATATTGATCAGGTAGATAAGAAAAATTTAAGTAAACGAGCTAAATATCTCCAAAAAATAAGAGAATTACTTAGAGCTAGATTTAGGACTGAATATTTAGGGCAATTACGCCAACAATCGTTAAGAGATTATAAGGATAAACCGTTAAAAGTCGGGGAAATAGTTTTAGTCGAAGATATTAATAAGAAGCGGACATTTTGGAATTTAGCTAAGGTATTAAAGGTAATTCCTGGCAGAGATGGTCACACAAGAGTAGCACTTGTAAAGACAGAAAATTCAGAAATTTTAAGGCCAGTTCAAAGACTGTTTAGATTAGAGCTGGAAAATGAGTATGTTGATGTAACAGGAAAATCATTGAAAATAAGTAGCAGTGGAAGAATTGTTAAACCTACTGTACCGTAATATTTTGCAAACTGTATGATTCATTAAGTATTGTTTATGTTAAATATTTTGTATGATTTTTCATCATTGATGTATTTTTCTTTCATTTATATAGAAATTTTATATGTCTAAAAATTAGAAGTTTGTTGAGTATAATTACAGGTATTCTACTCAAGGTGGGAGGAAATGTGGTAAGTTAAAATCCGAAGTGAAACTTTTAGAAATACGAACTGAAACTTAAATGTTAGCGCATGCGCGCATCCATTGGATAACCTCCCCCAAATACTTCTAGATTAGTTGGCTTTACGTACGAGATCTGGATGTAAGATGTTATGTTTGTCTGCTTGTTAATTGTATACCATTGTTGATGTTGTTTTGCCAATAAAATATGTTATTAATAAGTGCTGGTATTATCCTGGACCTCCTAAACAGTGACACTTAATGGTCTCAATAGTTTTTGTTTAAAGATATCAAATAGATTCTCTTTACCTTTAGGTATGATAACAGAATGGAAATGGGGTGTTTATTTTCAATAATTGTTCAATAAACTAAGCAACTACGACAAAAAAAATTTTAATTACCCCCAAGAGACAAAATTAAGAATAATTATGCAATATTCTGTAAAAAATTCTATGTTAAACTTTTAAATACGGAGTTAAAAAAAATAGTAAAAATTTTAAACTTAGCAATTTAAATAATAATAATGTCATTACAAATTTTTTAAGAGGTTAAAAGTTATATTAGCAATATACAATTTCCTTACTTAATTATCAGTTCTAAATTTCATAAAATTCTTATAAAATTTAGAACAATCACATGTGGGTCGATCTAATACTTACCTATCCAAACCTTGCACCATTTTCTCTAACTACTTACATAAAATTATTAACAATATTATTAAGGAAGGTTTTCCTTGGATTATCACTAATAATCAACCGATTTTAGAATTTATTACACAAACAAAAATTAATTCTATTGCGACTTTTGATTTCCAGGATCCCTTCTGTTAATTATAATTTCTAATACTCAATAGATGGCGGTCTGCGCAGTAATGTAAAATCGTTAGTTTCTAATCAGTTTTCCTCCATAACACTGTAACATCATCATCATCCTTCTTGTTATTAAATATATTTTATGTTAAAAGGCGTTTGTAATGATTGAAACCCCGAGATCTGAGAGATCATATCACCGTATTTAAAATTGGGCGCCAATATTAAATACGGTGATATGATCTCTCAGATCTCGGGGTTTCAATCATTACAAACGCCTTTTAACTACGATTTTAAAAATATCCTTAGTTGCGATTTTGATTATTGGGACATTCTAATTAATTTTTGTCTTTTTAATAATTATCTTTACAATGGAAAAGATATTTTTCTTCAAATTTATGGAAGACCACAAGGATCTAATTTCTCATCTCTCTTAGCTAACTTATTTGTGCATTATTATGAAAAAAAATTATACTCTTAACATTAAATATGTGTTTTATATTTATTGATTATTTAATTATCTTTAATTTTAAAGATTATACTGTTTTATTAAATAATATTTACCCCGAGGAATTATTAATCTTGCTTCCTAATCATGATGATAATTTTAATTTCAATTTTTTGGATTTGGGGTATTATAAAAGAAGAAAATATCTGCTTTATTGAATTACACGATAAAAAAATGACTGATTTTAATTTTCATAAATAAACTAATTACTTGAAATTCTAATGTTTCTAAGAAAATCTATTTAAATATCATTTTTAATCAAATTAATAGAATTAAGAGAATATGTAGTAATGTTTAATTATTCAAGAAACAAATAGACAAAATCTTTCAAACGTTGATAAAAAAAACAATGGAAACCCAACTAAAGTAATTAAATTCTATATAAAATCATTAAGTTAATTGTATATTATTGTAAATAAATTTTCGAAAAAACTTCTTTGCTTATTTATCTAATTTTTAATAAAAGACAAAAAAGCAAAAGATATTCTTTAACAGGAAAATCATAAATTTCTGGACTACTACAAACTTAAATATTATTTAACTTAAAGTTCTATTATGTTATAATAAATGAAAAGAAATGTAGTAAATACTTTATTACTAAACCCTTAGTACAAAAACTTACTTTTACTATTTACATGTAACCCATGTCGTTTTTATACAGTTTCATTTTTCCTTTATTTTCAAGAATTTTTTAATTATTAGTAGTATAAAATATATACGACATATTGCCTTAAATATTTTTAAATTTGTACCAATTCAAGTTTTAATATATTAAAAGGGATTAAAAAATCAAGAAATTAATGGGTGATAAAAAATCTATATGTCATAAAACTTAATACTAATATTATAAATTGCATACAGCTAAATAATGATTTTAGTTAAATAATACCGAAGTATGGCATTTTTATATTACACAGACAAGCACTTTTAAACAAATATTGCTAAAATAAAACTTAAATGTTGAGGGTTTATTTTGCATGTTAAGTGAAATTATAATCTAAAAGCATATTCAAACGATTCAGTTCTTTTTCTTTCTGTTTTGTTATTATGTGAGCATATTTAAGGAGCAAAAGTGGATATTTTTGAATTGTTCATTGAAAATATTAATTCCTAGTTAAATGGAATAGTCTAATGAATGCTATGAAATGCTTTGGTTCATGGCCGAAAATATTATTGGGCATATTGCTTTAAATAATAAAAAAAAAGCTTGGTTAAAGCAAAAACAAAAAAAGACGTCTTTTTCCCAACCTGAATCTAGGTGATACATAATGATAAAGAAAGCTTTATTAAACTTAAGCACACATCACATAAAATTGAACATTAAATGCAAACATGTTTGTTTTCATCACTCATAAAAGAAGTAGGAATTGCAGCGAATATCAATATTTTTCTTAAACATAAAAATTTCATAGTGGTTCTGGATAATATTAACCCATAGGTGACGCTCAGAGCAGTGATGTACTGATTGCGTGATCTTATTTGATTCAGCTATAGTAAAGTAAATATTTTTTTGTGTACGTTGCATGTTTTTAAGATAAATATTTTTTTGTGTATGTTGCATGTTTGTAAGATCTTATGTAACTGACTCAAACTATTATTCCCTCATCTAATATGCATTAAAGGAAAACGTATTTACGAGATGTTAGTCGAATTTCACAGTAGTAATTTTAAAAAAAAACTAAGGAAATAAATATTTAACCTTTTTTTTTAAGTTTACTCATTTATTGCTTTAGGAATTAATACATAGAATAATTGCAGCCAAGAAACATGAATAAAAAAATAAAAGTTTTTTTTTTGTATTTAAAAAAAAGTACTACCGTCGGCGCCTTAAAGGTCGAGGCTGTAACTTGTCCACAGAAAAATTACAACGCAAGCTCTTCTCACTATGACGTAATAACTGTAGTATGAAATTTAGCACGTTTTTGATAAACAAAATATATTCAGATAAACCAGATATGAAATTGATAACGCGGACATCACGTTTTGAGTTCATTAAAAATATTTTTTTTTTTATTCCGTTACATCAGTGTTTCCTAAACAGTGGTACGCGTACCCCCCGGGGTACCGGAACAGTTTAGCAGGGGTACGCGTTTTTATGCAAAATATCTTACAACAAACGAAAATTTCAAAAAAAACTTTATTTAAAAACAAAGCTAGCCATGAAAATTTACGATTACGTATTTTTCTATTGGATATTTTTTGCAAAGTTAACAGTTAGTGGTGTCAACAGCCAGTTGTGAATTTTAACTTTTGTGCAATTTTTTATAGTAAAAAATACATTAATTTTTTTATTAGTGGTACACAGCGTTACAAAAAATTTAGAAAGTGTACACAAAAGTCATAAGTTTTGGAAACACGGCGTTACATAATTAAGTTTAGCTAAAGCTGTAAACAGTAGA